AATGACCAAACTACAAAACACATTCATAAGTACATACTCACTTATCTTGTTTTTCATTTTGATGCCTATTAGGCAGCCAAGGTATTGACCAAGTCTCATTATCATCCTCATCATTCTAGCATTATTATCTCAACTATATGGGGTCCAATGTGTAAATCCTATTTTGTCAATTTGTTTTATTTGATTATGCCCATCTAACAATTAACATTGTTGATCCCAAGCCTAGATAGAGGAGGGGGGGGGGGGTGCATTCATTTTTCAAAGTATCGATACGTATTGGTATTTTGAACCACACGGAAATATGTTCTTTTTTTATTTTTTTTTTTCAAAATTTGGTTTTTAGGGAGTTTAATACCCATATTTTTCATTAGAAAATAGTGGGGTCCCGAAACACATGGGCATATCGGGACCCAAAAGATACAATACGATACGATACACTTGATACGGGGCGTATCGTATCGATCTTTTGAACCTTGGGTACATTAGATTAGCAGACGGTACTAAAATTTTTGTCTAACAATTATGAGATTGATCAAGTATGTTTTTTTTTTATATATTTTTATTTTATAAACAATAAAATATATACATCATTTGACCATTGAAGGAACATGAGATTATAGATAGTGGATTCCAAAACACCATACAGTCCCAAGAAGAAGAGAAGGAAAATGAAAGGAAAAGGAAGAAGAGGAAAACAAATTTTAGTATCAGATGTGTTCCCATTCATGATTTACTTGAAACCAAGGTTTTAAAAACTGGACCGGACACGGAACCGTTTTGGGGACTAGTTCCCAAGTCGAACAAATGGTCCATTCTGATTTAAAAAAATTAAAATTAAAACAAAAATGGCCAAAAACCGCTATTTGGGTTGACGGGTTGATGGTTTGATTGCCCAATTCAACAGGTCGCTGATCAAATCAACAATTTTTTAGCCCAAGAGCAATTTTAGGGTGAAATGGAACCGGTTGTTTGAGCGGTTCCCGATTAAAAAATTCGATATCCAACGGATATTGAAAATTAATATTCAAATTCGAATCCGATTAAATATTCGAATATTGGATTTGATTCGAATTCAACTAATTAATTATTTTAGGTAATTAATAAATATATAAAATAAATATTTTATTTATATAAAGTATACAAATATATAAATTATTTATATAATTTAATTATTATATATACATTATATAAAACATTTAAAAAAATTATATTACATATAAGAATTAAATAATCAGTCAAATTCGGATATTTATCAAATCGAATGAGGTCATATCCGAATTCGAATCTGATTAATTATTCGGTATAAATAGGAAATCCAAATTCTACCAGTTAAATATTTGAATTATCCGAATTCGCTTTGATTATGTTAAATCTCAAATTCGAAATCGGATTTTCGAATACCGTTGACACCCTGCCACCCGGTCTGATCTAGTTTTCAAAACCATGCTTAAAACCTCTAACTTTTATTTGTTATAACATCACTTGTAAGAAAAAAGTAATTTGTTGCAAGTTGTATGGATGAAAAGGGCTTAGGATGGACCAAATATGGGTAATGGCAATAAATGATTTAAGCAAAATAATTTAACAATGAATATGACATTAGACCGTCTTTCGAAAAAAAAATAAAAAATATATGGCATTAAACACAATGACATGGCTAAACGGGCTTCATATAACTAACCACATATAATTGGGATTTGGGACAACACTTTATGATGATGATAACAACAACATTGAAACCCCAACCTGTTATTGTAAGTTGGATTCCCCTTACACCAAGCCATCAGTAAAATTGAACAATAGTCCTTAATGGTTATGGGAGATGGTTGTCATTATCTAGGGTTAAGTCCCATTCAAGCTCGATGGTAGTAGTGAAAATTCTTTCAATTTTTCCCCATGGTGGTTGTTATGGACAAAAAGAAAATTATTTTCAAGAGATTGTTATGAGATGGGTGGGGATTCTTTGGATTGTTGAATCAAATTGCAACTAGTTGGCTGCTGCAACATTTATTCTAGATTTCTAGGATTCTCTTCTTCTCAAATGTTGACAGTATCTTGAAATTAACAGTTAACCATTTCCAACATTATCTGAGTGGTTTGGTTTTCTAATTTTTCTTGGTGAGGTTGAAGTGAGACCAGCCAAAAATAAAATAGACTAAATGAAACTAAAAGGAGGTATATTGAAGCTTAGAGCCAAAGTGAAGTATGAATCGAGGGAAAGGGATGTTAAGCAAGGAATACTATTCCAAATTTCGTATTTTTCTGTTTTTCTGGTCGTGAACGTGAAAGAATCGCTTTGGAGTAAATATAAAGAAAATAAATCGAAAAAATGGTAAATTGCGGTGAGCGTGGATCGAACACGCGACCTTCAGATCTTCAGTCTGACGCTCTCCCAACTGAGCTATCCCCGCGATTTGTATGTAAATACTCGCATCTTTATTTGAAAATTTAGACTAGCAATAGTTTTCATTCACCCCCAAAAATGCAAGCATGTCGAGAAGAAGAAAGGTAGATTGGTTTCTTAAACTTACTTTAAGGAATCACCCTCAAACCATATATCGATGGGAAGAGAGAATTTGATTCCTAGGTTGACCTTTCGATCCATGATGGATTGGATTGGGTTGGGCCATGGGTCAACCTGCTGATTCGATTGTCAAATCTAATAGGAATGCATTGTTAGAAGTTTTCACTCTTTAATTTTTTTTTTATTTAGTCTCTACTCTTTATTATTTATTCTTTAAATTGTTAATTATTCAAGTTTTTTTTATTTTTTATTTAGAATTTTAAGGTTAATTCCTTTAATTTTGGCATTTTTCATCTAGTTTTTCTTTATTTTTTTTAAATTTTAGTTATTTTTGGGGGATGACCCGAATTGACCCATGGATCAACCCTAACCTGAACATTTAGAGTTAGGGTCTAGCATTTGATAACCCAACCCAAAATTCAACCCAGCCTTAAATCAACCCAAAGTGTCTTGACCCAATCCGAACCTGACCCACCCAACCCAATTGCCAGGTCTATGGACCATCTCTTGTATATACCTACTCTAATAAAAAAATCTCACCCATGAAATTTACTAGAAATCTCATCCATCTTTTGGAATGGATGACATCTCTGCACTGACATGCCATTTTCTCAGAAAAACAAGCATTTTTTTGGAATGGTTGCTGCTAGACACCTAGACCTGGCAAAAAGTTGACCCAACCCAACCCGAAAAAACAGGGTTAGGGTCTCATATTTAGATACATGAATGTGAGAATGACCCGACCCGACCCAACCAAAAAAAAACTGGGTTGGGTTGGGTCATGGGTCAACCCACTGACCCGATTGCCGTCTAATTGGGACTATTTATGCATTGTTAGAAGTTTCCACTCTTTAATTTTTTCTATTTAGTCTTTACTCTTTATTGTTTACTCTTTAAATTGTTAAATGTTCAAGTTTTTATTTTATATTTGGAATTTTAAGGTTAATTCCTTTAATTTTGGTATTTTTCATGTAGTTTTCTTTATTTATTTATTTTTTAATTTCAGTTATTTTTTAGGATGACTTGAATTGACCAATGGGTCAACCCTAACCCGAACATTTAGGGTTAGGGTCTAGCATTTGATAACCCAACCCAAAATCCAATCCGACTCGAAAATCAACCCAAGGTGTCCGAACCCGAACCCGACCCACCCAACCAGATTGCCAGGTCTAGTTGCTGCCACTTGAAGTTTTTCTAGGTCATATCAATAAACCGTTGCTAGTAATGGTATAAAAATGAAAAAACATAAAAAAAAAGATGTTTTTTTTTTCAGACCACGCCTTTCCCCAAACAAACAGGTATTATTTGTTTAGGCTCAGTTTGAAAGGAGTACAAATGCAAATATGTTCAGTGCAAATACATACAAAATATAAGATTTTGCACTCTACATATTTGCATTTGTACTCCTTCCAAACTGAGCATTAGAAAATCAGCCCAACCAAACAGGTGTCATTTTCCCCAGCACCAAATCTCCTATGTGATGTCGATATGGCACTATTTTCTGGGAAAAGAGCATCAGTTCCAAACATGCCGTAAGGCTGTGTTGGGCTTTTAAAAGGCAGGAAAAGGAAGAAAAAGATAGGGATACCTATACAAACCAAACATAACCCAAGTGATTCTTCTGGCTATACTCCGTTTTGTTTTTTCTTCTCTATCAAGTTCGGCTTTTATTGATTTTTCAGATCGAAGTTTTGACATTTGGTCATTGAAATAATCATTATAGAATATACGGACCGAGTGACCTTTCTTTCACGGGACTCCTCTGAAAACCAATATTCCTAGAATGGGTTAGCATGAAGAGAAGAAAGTTTCCACCCTAAGAGGGATGAAACTCCATTTGTTTCAGTGTAGAAATAGCAGGAAGCTTGCTACCAGAAAATTCTCAATTATATTTAATCCTTTTATGACAAGAATTTTGTTTTCTACTCCTTTTTTTACATGAATGAAAGTAAATGCACCCTTAATTTGTCCTCCTATTACCAAGGCTCAAAGTATCAATACATATCGGCCCATATCAACGGATACGTATCATTCTGGAGCCCCTCCAATACGTCCCTACAGTGGGTGTATCGGGGTCTGACCGGTTCAGGGGGTGGAGGAGCCCTAAACCGGCCTCCCTGAACCGGTTGCAAAAAAAAAAAACAATAAAAGTGAGTATCTATATTTTGAACCTTGTCCTATACTTTATTCTTGGATGTTTCATGTTCTTTGGCATATAATCCAAGTACCAAAAAAGGCATATCTTAAGGTGGAGCGTTCTGATGCCCAAGGCCTTCAAAAACCGTTACACTGCAATTCCTTATCTGATTCTTGTAAAAGCTAGGAAGATCCACAACTATTATTATCGTCACATGAGATCGAAGACTTAAATTTCAGTCTCAAGAAATGAACTGGTTCTCTGCCAGATCAATTTATGTGAATGTGGGTAGTTTGTTAAGTTTGTGAGGAAGAAAGTCTGAATTCTTCAACCCTAATGAAAGAGAATAACTCAATAATTTGATCTTTTAATTGATGATGACAGACTCCTTCCTTAGCATACATGTTCAAGGAAATATGGAGGAAAAACATAAATCGAATTAGCAAGGATTTAGCAAATCCGGCGAGCAATCAAAATGCAAGCATTTGCAGTACACAATGTAGACTAGCCCTCTCAAGTCTCAACCACAATAAGAGAGTTTTATGTCAGGTAAACATGCAACTCAGACATGACATGCTATGCTCTATTCTGATTCAGCAGCACTAGAACAAGATAATCAATCCCCTGCATAGACACTCACTTTGGACTGCTTCAGGTCAGAAAGTTCATGTGAGAAATAATTGTCATAACTACTAACTGAAAGATGAACAGTAGTCAGAACAGAATCATCACAGCTGCAGACATAAGCAACCTTATAACCCAAACCTCTCAATTCAACAAATCACAACTGAATTGACCATCTGACAAAGTCAATTTCTCTGCTTTTGTAACAGCATTTAAAGGGAGAGGACTAAAACTTCTGGATGGGCCATAGAAATGAGGGAAGAAATTGGAACCATCTGCAGCTTCATAAACTAATCCATCTCCAAGCTACCACAAAATGAACGCCCATTAGGTGAAAATTGATAAAAATGCAATGAAGCATAGAGTGAATAAAAAGAAGAAACCACCTCTCAGTATGAATTAACTTTTCGTGCTAGCTCATGTTTAGTTGTTAACCATTATGTTCTTACAGATTGCACACAATATTGAGCGCTAAAACAATTAAATCACATGGGGAAAAAGAACCATAGTAGTTATTCAACCAAAAATATAGTATCAACCATCAAGTTCAGTGGGACACAATTTAATTGTAACTGAATTCCTTAAAGAAGAACAATTTACTAGTAGAGAAAGTATAAATATATGTTATCTTTTGGTTGGGATGACAAGGTAAAGATTTGGCAAAAGGTGCAGATGAGGGGTTAAATACTAAATAGGCAAATGTGAACTCAGAGATGAGAAAATTCAGGAGATACATTAACTTGACCCTGTAATAAAGAGAAAAATGCTCAACTAAAGGTTTATATACATGTAAATACTTACGAAAAATATTAAGAGTTTTCCATGAAGTTGAATAACACTGGTTTCATGATGGAAATTTCTCCAGTGTAAATGGATAACCTATTGTTTGAGTGTTACAAATACATGGGGACAAAGGCCATCCAAAGGAATTCAGTTAAAAGAAAAGGTAGAAAACAACATTGCAATCTCTGTTTTATCTTTATGTTGTTAGATCAATTAGTACCCAAAATTTAATTGCTTGGTTCCTCCTCTATCTAGGACCCATGGAATACATATAGTAGCTCAATTCCTTAAATTGCAACCTCTGTTTTATCTTTATGTTGTTAGATGATCAATTGGTACCCAGAATTTAATTGTTCGGTTCCTCCTATATCTAGGACCCATAGAATACATAGAGTAGCTCAATTCCTTAAAAAAATGTCTGCTTCCTCCCCAGTGCAGGGACAAGAAAAAGCATTTCTTATAGATGGTTAACAGTGTCTGCTTCCTCCCCAGTACATAGATGGTTAACAGGGACAAGAATACATAGAATAGGCATCCATATAGATGGTTAACAGGGACAAGAAAAAAAAATGTCTGCTTCCTCCCCAGTACATAGAATACATAGAACAGGCATCCATATAAGAATTAGAAACATAAAGTCTTAATAAAGAAACCTATTAATTAATTAATTAACCAAAAGCTGGGGCACTGGTATCTGCTCATTCTTTTCTCTTTTTTTCCCTTTTAGGGTAAAGATAGATATAATTTTATACCTTTTTAGTGTCTATTTGGAGCAAATACAGGTTCTCCATGCCTGTGAAAAAATTTTTCAACGTTGGCTTCACCTGCAAAGTTGTTAACCATACGCCATTAGGCATTAAGACCAACGGTTGAGCAAGCTCAAAAATCAAAATATAATTCCTTTCCAACGAAAGCCGCAAAAGGAGATGTTAATTCTGAAGAAAGTTGAAGGACCCCAGACTCACTCTTGAAAATCCGATCAACACTAAAACCGGAAAAATAGTAGAGAGAGAAGCTAGATGATCAATCAAGGGCTTGTTGTATGTGGCTATGTGCGTTGTGGAGAGCAAAATTTAAAGCATATTCTACAGGAAGAAAAAAGGGAGAAGCATTCATTCTAAAGGGGAGCAAGTGAGATAGAATGAAACCTGATCGAGCTTGCTGAGGTGTATACAACCAGTAGTTTTATCAAGATCCCCACCAAAGGTAGATCCGCTCTTCTGCAACTCTTCCCATTCCTTAGCCGTACTGATCCTGTATACAAACTCCTGGGATTCTCTTACTTCCTCTTTCCCAGCCATTTTTATCTTCTCTACTTCTTTGGTTTTTCCTAAGACTATAAATGTTTTTGATACCCCATGATTTTTGATACACTTAGCCTTAGCCGGAGCCCGGAGACCGGAGGAGTAAATATCATACGGGTACCGAGAGGGCAGTACTCATTTGGTCATAGTCGTATGTTAATGCTATATCGATGGGTGAAAGGTCTTTCGGTATCACACCCACCCACCCTTTCGGCATCAGAGAATTAGGCAGAACTTCTCATGAATTTTGATTAATGCCAGTAGAGTAGCAATGGGTCTGGTCTATCATATAGAACCAAACCGGCATTATGATCCTGAGCTTTGTGAATTGTCTGGATTGCACTGTTTTCTTTTTTTTCATTTTTTTTTGCAAAAGAACAAAATATATTTAAATAATTTGGTGAAGTTACTGGGTAATCCTAAAATATATAAAGGGCTCCTGTTTTTCTTGTAAATTTTCTTATATTTTAAGTCAAAGGACAAATTTTCCAGAAAAAAGAAGAAGAAGAAGAAAAACAATCACTTGTGTGCATGACATATTAATGGTGGCTTTCTCTTGTTCATTTTGTACTTGTCGTAGAATGGAGAAAGTGGGCAAAGACAAAATTTGGAAGCCAAGGTGTTGGGTACACTACTGTGTCTAGAATTGCCACATTGGTTTGCCCTGCTTTTGTAAAATGACATTAGCAATGGTACCTCCAAGACACAGTAGTGTACCCAATACTTCCGCTTGCCCAGCTTTTATCTTGATGCCCACTTTCTTTCTTTTTTTCTTTTTTATTTTTATGATGGGATCAAGAGGGGCTACACAGGATAGGGGGCTAGCACGTCCAGTCCCCACAAATCACAAAAACAGATGAAATCTAAGTCGAACGGGAGCTTACATAAATCAAGCAAGGCAGATCCATTGATAGAGGAACACACCATTAGCAAGCCAGTCAGCCACTTAATTAGTCCACTTGATTAGTTTTTCTGAAAGGCAGATCAGATTAGTCCACTTGCGTGAAAATTTTTATTTGATCTCTAGCAGCTTAAATAACCTTTTGCAATTTGCTTATTAAATAATAAGACCACCCAGTGTCAAACCAGTTCTAGTAAGGGTGCAACTTGAGGCCCAGCCCAAGCCCAAAATTTTACACTGGATGGGTTTTGAACTTTGGTCCTCGGACACAGCCCAGTCCAATTATATCACATTCATACATATGTATGCATAAATATTTATATAATATTAGAGTGGGTTCATTGAATAATCCGAACCCAGCCCATAGCTGAACCCAACCCAAATGAATCAAATTACAATGCAGGCTAAACTCAGGTTGGGAAGGTCAGGTTTGACCTCGGGCTTGGACCCTAAATCCAAACTTTAGGGTTGGGCTTGAATTGACCATAAACCCAGCCCAACCCACCCGACTGGGACCCAACTCAGATAAATAGGGTGCTCAAGTTAACCAACCCAAGTCCAATCTGAGATGAATACAGGTTAGATCAACATAAATAATTTCCACCACTTATACACTAACCTATCATCCAGAACTTAAATAGGCAGTAGTGATACCCAAATACAAGGATTTATCAAGTTGCAATTTGACTATCATACGACGGTCGAACACTCGGAAAAAATCGAGTAGATGTTATACTCAAGGCATTAGGCCCTTGAATAGTAAATGCACTCTGACCTCGATATTCTTCAGTTGGACTTAAAAATTAAAATTATTCATTCCATTTTTCCTCAAAAAAGGCACAAGGGAAGAAAAACAATCAAATATTGTTGAATTACATTTTAGAAGAAAATTTACAAGAAATTTTCCATCATCCCACGGAGTTTGAATAAAAAAGGCAGCAGTGTCGCTTTATCACTCATCAGCCTATTGTTTGGCAATTAGCTTGCAATAGGACCGACTAATCTTACCCGTCTCTTCCCTCATTTTTCCCTTCATTATTTCTGGTCCTCAAGGCTTCAGGGATTTTCATGTTCCTCAGAGAATTAGCAGTAAATTGCACCAGGATTTCAAAAATAACAAATAAGCAAGATAAAAGGAGTAAATTCGCTGAATTATTCTGGATCTACATAGAATAAATTTCAGTGTATAATCATGCACAGAGTAAACAGATAATGGGGTAACAAGTAAGAATATCTCCTTTCTGAAAACATTAAAAGAAATAAAATAGTGATTATGACATCTCTAACTCCGACACTTTGATTGCAACTCAAAAGTCACCGTAAATGAGCACACCATCTATGCCTGCAAATAAGCAAGATAATATGAGCAAAAACGCAAGAGAATATAGTAAATATGAAACTCAAGCAGCACCGTCTTTGGAATAATATCATCTACCTTATTAGCGATGTTGTTGGAGAGCCAGTCCAGTCCCTCGTACAACCCTTCTCCAGAAGTGGCACATGTGCTCTGGATGTACCTAATAGAAGAGAGTAATCACCAACATTCAAGTGAATATGAGGAAGATAAGATATCAACAGAAGAGACAAGAGATAAGACTGTTTATTTGATGTACCAGTGGCGTTGACGAAGGGAATGAAGACCAAGTTTATCAGTGATCTCAGCGGCATTCATTGCATTCGGAAGATCTTGCTTGTTTGCAAACACAAGCAGCACAGCATCCCTTAGTTCATCCTGCCCATGCCCCAACACAAAATATCATTCAAGTATAAAAGGCTATACATATATACCAAACGAAAAAGAAAATGTCTGCTACTTAATAGCTGAAAATGGGTGATACCCAGATTGGTATTCGTAACATTACATAAAACTCTCTTACCTCATTCAACATCCTGTGCAACTCATCCCTGGCCTCAACAACACGGTCTCGGTCATTGCTGTCTACCACAAAGATGAGACCTTGTGTATTTTGGAAGTAATGTCTCCACAAAGGACGGATCTGAAATAGCCCCAGAAAAGACAAAAAGTATATTAGATGAGACCTTGTGTGTTTTGGAAAAGGTTTTATGACTAGGCAACTAGAATGGATTTAGCTTGTACATGTGCATCTACCATTATCATCACCATCAAAATTTTCTTTAAATATTAGCATGGGTAGAATTAAAATTAAAAAAAAAAAACACTGAAAGATGAGGTGGCTTAATTAGATTATAGTAAATATTAAGCACATATGTTAAAATCTCTAATCAGCACTAGACCGTCCTCCATAACCATGCATCTCAACAACATATTTATATAACCATGTACTCAAGTAACTGAGTACACGTGTATATATTGTTCTTTATGACTACATCCTCTATTTTTTTGAGACAAAATAACCAGAGATCATGCCATGCCTACTTGCTTATTTCTGTTAACTTTCACCAACTGCCCTACTTAAAAAATCTTAGGAAAGACATTAATGTAAATACAAGAAAATTTTTCCATGCACATGTACCCAAGCAATTATGAATAAATCTAGACCTAGGGCTGGCAATCTTGATCCTAACCCATTTAACCCACCCAACCCACCACCTTGGAACCCCATCCATACCCACCCAATCTATTGGTGGGTCAATAAATCTAGAGCATCATACCATGCTTTTTTTTTTTTTTTTTTTTACTTCTATTAACTTTCATACACTTTGCTCCACTTACAAAATCCTAGGGAAGCTATTAATGTAAACATAACAACTTGTCATAAACATGAACCTATGCGATTATGAACAATCCTAAAGCCAATCAACATCAGCCTATACTACTGAACATACTAAGATGTAATCATTGATTAGGGGGCCAATTGATAATAGTAGAAGTTACTAAACTGAAAAGTTTATTGCTTTATCTTTAGTGAATAAGATTTTAAGGAGGTTGGGGGCTCCTTAATGGCTAAAGCTAAAGTTGGGTAAGTTACTATATCCTTGAATATTTTATTATTTAATTATTTTATCTTCTAAAAGAAAAAGCAATAAGTCATTCAGCTCAACAACTCCAGTTGTTATAAAATGCCCCAAAAGCTTTTGGCTTGCAATTTTGGTGAATAAAATCTTTATGATTAGAACACCTGTGACTTTGTATAATAGTTAAGCAAGTTGTCTTAAAATGTCAGCCACACATGGATAGTGTTTCCTATTATAGCAAAAGAGACACTGAATGACGAGGTGGCTTAATTAGATATAGCTTATGTTTATGTTAAGTGCAGATGTTAAAATATCTAATCCGCACTGGACCGTCCATAAGCATGCATTTTAAAAACATAACAAAAGAGACTCATGCATCACATTGGTGTTATAAGATACCCATATATAGGGGAGTGTTCATATTCAGTTTCTTGATAAAAAGGAAACTGAATTGGTTGTAGATGAGTCTAAATAGTCCCATGCTGATTTTTTTTTTGTTTTTTTAATTAAAAAAAACTACAAAAATTTGAGAGGTTCAGGAAGCAAATGGAGGAGGAGAACAAGGGCATCATACCATTCCCATTTGTTAACTTCTTTTAACTTCCATTCAGTGGCCCACTTGCAAAATCTTTTAAATGAGCACAATTTTCCAGCACATGCATCCATGCAATTATAAATAAGTCTAAAAGCAATCAATTTATATTATTGAACACATTGAGATTTAATCATTGATTAAGGCTTTTGGCCTACAAATTCTTTGTGATTAGTATGTTTACGATTTTGCATAACAGTCAAACGAATTGCAAGAAGCCTGAAACAAACAGTTCCATAAATTCTAAACGAAATGGCAAATAAAAAAAGTAAAAACATTTTCTTTATAAGGCTTGGATGATGATGATGAAAAACATTAATAACAACAATGCATTCTATCCTAAATGATCATGGGTTCTTATGCGTGTATTGCAACCATAAGGAATCTAAAACTTCCCAATTTATGGTCTCCAAGTATTTCAATACAATATTTCAGGATAAGCTCTCAATTAGGAGATTAAGACCTTCCAACACAATATTTCAATACATACCTTGTCCTGACCACCTACATCCCAAACAGTAAAGCTAATGTTCTTATATTCCACAGTCTCCACGTTAAATCCTGATAAACATAGCTTGTTAGTTCCAATTAAGAGTGAACAGAATACAAGCCAGACACAAATTATAAGTTCCAGTGATTTGTGCAAACACTTATGTCCCATATCAACCATGCATGGAAAAAAAAAAACAGAAGACCACATGGGGTAGAAATGAAGGCATTCTTCAACTAGAAGGTAGTACTCTGGTCTTTTCATTAGTCTTTAGTAGGTTGTTTCTCAATTGTTGTTGCCTAGTTTTGGTATCTATTTTTGCTGATGGTTTTTTCCTTCAACTAAATCTATCATTTATTGCCAAAAGAACTAGAAGGTAGTTATTTTCACATAAAACAAAATCTTATTAAAATGAGGCAATGGCAATATCTCTCCTAATCTTAATGTGCCATTTGCCACATTTAAATTTAAATGTAAATATATTTATATGCCACTAATCCTCATAATGAAGGGTAATGAAAGCCCCCACAGCAAAACTTAAATTAACCAATCAAATAAGACAATAGATTGAACAGACCATCAAGAGCACAACTGGCAAAGTAAGAAAACAACTAGCCCAAGTAATAAGGATATGCAAGAACAGTATAACTTCTTTTGTACATTAAATAGGCATCCAAGCGGATTATCCCATAAGACATCCTAAACACATCCACCTTCAATTGTATTCATATATCATAGGGTTAAAATCATACCAATGGTTGGAATGGTAGTGACAATCTCTCCTAGCTTGAGTTTGTACAAAATGGTGGTCTTACCCGCAGCATCAAGACCCACCATAAGAATACGCATCTCTTTCTTGGCAAACAGTCGACTGAAAAGCTTAGTGAAAGACAGCCCCATCTTTGTGACTGATGGCTCTACAAATTGCAGAACAAAAATTCATTCAAAATGCAAATAGCCCATAGGGAATGACATATTAACAAATACTATAAGAAGTTCGTAATTTGTTCGAAAGAAAAGTGGTTAGTTAGTTTATTATTTATAACACGGAGTTCACTACAATAATAGGAAAAGAAGTACACGGAAAGCATGCATGAATACCTGAAACAGTTCCCCACAGTTAAATACCCAACTTAACAGGGGGATCTCAAGTATTATACCTAGAAGTTAAAAACAAAACTTATAGAAAGCCACAACAAAAAATTTAAACCATGTAAATTGCCTGAAAAGAAAGCATAGTGTAGCTCAAGAATGTATAAAGGTTTATATAGGAAGAAGAATCACTAAAAAATGTAACCGGTTAACTAAATAGTAAGGGTCTTGATGTATAAAACAAACTTAAAATGAGAGAAGAATTTCACAAGGAAGCAAAAAAGATGGCTAAGCTTTTCATCCCCACATGTTTAGATAAATTCAAACATATTCCTGCTTACCATACTATTCTATCTTTTAAAATAACATTAAAAAAAAGAAAAATCATTGTCCTTAAAATGGCAAAGCATATCATTCGATCAAATTTATACAACAACCTCACTCAAATCCAAAGGGAAAAATCACGCCAACATCTGAATAACCCGTAAGTCAAATATATTCACATAATGACATAAACTAGCAGTCTTCGTTTCGACAAAGCAACAAAATCTAAAAACACATCAAAATATATCCACAACCAAGTGCATAATAAAATATTACCTATTAGAATCAGAGTGTCTGGAAAAGAAAACAGAAGAAAAAAACATTGCAACCATCAAAGTTAGAACAAAAAGACAACAGTATGGAATCTCAGGTCCACGATAAAAAAAAAAAACAATAAACTAGCACTTATCATGATGAAAAGAAACAAATCGACAAAATCCGGCATGAAATTCAATTTTAAGAACCGGAAAATTATGAAATGGTATGAATTATTCGAGCAACCAATGCACCAATGCGTGCATCAAAATAAAAATCGGCTAGATCATGCAACAATATCAATTAAAAAAATTGCAGAGAATAAGAAACAAACCAAATCAAGCCAAATTGAACCCCAATTTCGCAAATCAATCGAGAAAACGAAATCCTAAGTCCTTGAAGGAAGTGAACCAAATTGGTCTCGGATGAAACAAGTTAAACTGAAACCAACAAAAGAGATCAGATGAGAGAAGTCCTGAAAGCACCAGATCAGAGCGAAAAGAAACAAAGAAATCACGAAAGCAAGCTCTTACATGAGAGAGAGGAAGAATGCAGTTGAGGGCGATCCGAGCGAGCAGATCTCAAGGAGCTGTCCTCCACGATGAGGTTCCACCGAAATAAAGGGAGTATTTATAGGGATGTAGGAAATGGCTGGTTAAGTTAGTTAAGATGCTAAAATTCACAAGGGATCTGATTCCATATGATCATCTTTATGTGAGACAATCCTTTCCTATCACCAGATTAGAATAAGATGTTACATAGACCACACAAATATTATATAAGAGGAGATCTGCGCGTATGTTAGTGTCTCACGGTTACACAAAAGCCAGCAAATTTGAATTTTATCGTTAAGAGTGGATAGACCAAAACCAAAATCTACGTCATCTTTCGGCCAAAGGAAAAGAGAAATGCCCACCGCACATTTAATTTAATTAATTTAATTCCAAATTTTCATTTAACAAAACAGTATGAAGTGCCACGTGTCAAAGAATTAATCTTATAAGGGCAAGAAATATTTCCATAGTTGGCAACATCTCTGAAAAGGGACCTTGCTTTTATGAATTTATTGAAATACCATTTGCACGGTGTTTGACTCAACGTTCAACTCTATTCCACTGTGTTTCCTGAGGTTGCGTTTGGATTACACTGAATCAGAAAGTGACTGTTGTTTTTTTTTTTTTTTTTAAATAGGAATGAGTGAAAGAGTATAAAATTTTACATCTATAAATTGATGTAGTTTTTACATCGATTATCGATGTAAAACTTTAGAGATGATGAGGTTTTACATTTATTATTAACGTAAAACTATACTCCATCTAAACGCATACAAAATTGAACCAGAGTATAATTTTACGTTAATAATAATTACACCCTCTTTCCAAATGCATACAGAATCGAACCAATGTAAAATTTATATCGATTCTTGATTTACATCACATTCAAATGCAGCCTGACGAAAACGCAGTAAAAATGTAAGATATACCCATATACCACACCGACTAGCCTCAGATCAGATGATATGGTCCACGAATGAAGATTTGTCTTTGCAACAAGTATGAACAACACATGGTTTAGTGAATTAGTGATTTAGTGGGTGGGCCCTTTGTCTTGGGACTTTGAAGCAAGGTGAGCCCAATCCAAACAAGATTGTTGGTCCAGGTTCAATCCAGCTAAAAGGTATGAGGCATGGGCCCATAGGAAATGTGGCCCATAAGACTACCTTTTCCATTCCTTTCCATTCCATAGGAAATGTGGACAATCTTCTCATGCAGTAATGAGCTCGATGCAAGTCGAGTGGACTGGGTCAGGTTTTACCTCAATCCAGGCCTAATCTTAAATTTTGGGTCTAAAGTCCAAGCCCGACTTGAGCCTGAGGTCAAGTTCGAACTATTCAACCTGATCCTAGCTCGCATTAAAATTTGATGCATTCAGGTTGGACCAGGGTCAAGATTGGGTTTGGACTGGTCAATCATTTCATACTAAAAACGGATATAAATGTATATCTATATGCATGTATGTATGATTTATTAGAAAAATATGCCTATATGCATGCATGTATGTTAATACGTATCTATATATATACATACATACATGTATATAATCAGGCAGGGTACGGGCTACCTAATGGCTAGACCCAAGCCTAGACCAGAAAATTAAAAAGCCTGAAATTTTGGGTTGAGGCCCATCCCAAGGACCAAAAGTTTAAATGCATCCCGTGTAAAATTACGGGCTGGATTGGTTTGGGCTCAGGTTGGGCCCACCCAAATGAACCCTGCATGTAATGGTGCATGGTATCTAGCAGCTATTTTATATCAAACCCCACCCTTGTTGTTCATTGATGACTAAGGAAGCAAACGGATTGAATAATATTCAATCGGTTTTGATAGGATTCGATTTGAATTCGAATTTTATCGGTAAGTTGGATCTTCAGATCTGATATAATCTAACTTGTTTTCTTTAAAAACTAATAAATTATTAAAAGAAAATAAAATATACTAATTTAAATAAAATAAAAACAAAAAATACAAGTTTTTTTTAATTATTTTCATCATATATATACATGCTTTTTATAAAATATAAATAATATAACAAATTTATAAAAATATATTTATAAATAAATAAATAACATATATATATATATATGTATATTTATAAATATATAGTAAATATCAAACCATATCTTTTATCGGATAGGGGTGATCTGAATATGATCCAAACATGAGTTATTCAAATTCAACCAAATAGGATCAGATATTGGTAGAGGTGTAAAATGGGTCGTGCCACCCTCCCTAAGGATAACTTGGGGGGGGGGGGGGTCGACCTAGCACAACCCATAGCCCATGCCCGTGCAGGCCCATGCCGAGCTATGCCATGCCACTTACTGGACCAGGCCAAATCTATTTAATTAAAAAAAATTGAAAAGAAAAACTTAAAATGTTAATTTTATATGAATTTTGATGTACACAATTGCTTATATACAATAATTAAATAAATTAGTATAATAAAATTGAAAATAATTATTTATTTTATTAATATATTATATACTATATTATTATATAATTATAATTTATATATTATTATATATATAAATAATATATATGGGCCGTGTTGAGCCATGCCAGGCTGGGCCACAGGTTGGGCCGTGCCAGCACATGGGCCACGGGCAGTTTTGCCTTATCAGCCCAGCCCGTGAACCTAAAATCCTAGACCCAGTACAGACCACACGGTCGTGTCGGGTTGTGCCAGGCCATGGGCGGCACAACCCAATTTACACCTCTAGATATCGCATTGGATCGGATATGATCTGATCCATTTGCACCCCTATTGATGATTGTTTTATCGCCAATGATCGTGGGTCGTTGCAGACAACCAGGTGGGACCAGCCGTTGAAACTTGAACCCCCACTCCATTTTATCATCCCATTCAACCACACACAAGTCCTTCTCATACAGGTTTTTTTTAGCTGCCTCATGCCTGTTAATGCCATTGGTTAGTGCTTTTCTAATTCTTAAAGCTTATCTTTTTTCTTTGGGTAAATTGCAGAAACCTTTTCTAAAGTTTGTGATTGTTGCTGAACCTCCCCTCAAGTTTGATAATTGTGATCACTTCCCTTAACTATCTAATATAATTACAATTTGCAATTAGATTCCTTTTGTTAGAATACTCTAAGAGGCATAAAACTGTCCAAAATATCTATGTATCTATTTTTGACCAAAATGTTTATTTTCCAAATTTTTATTCCATATGAATTGCTAGCACAAACACTTCCTATCTCTTTTCTGAAATTGATTTATTTTCCAAATCTGCCCTTCGTATCAATCACTCAAGCCTTGTTCACTTTTCGGTAAGTTACTTACTCGGGTAAATACAATTTCCTAGGTAAGTTTTTCTCGGGAAACACTTACCTGGGTAAATGCATTTACCCAGGTTCTTTTATTTCTCAAGTAAATAAGGCAATGACCATTTTATTCATAAAAATCCATTATTAAAAGGGGCATTTTTGTCTCATTCAAGTGCTAGCAACTTTCCTCCTAGGTGGGAAAGTTATTTACCCACCTAGGAGATGGGTATCACTTTCCTGGGTAAGTGATACCCAGGAAAATAAAATTTCCCTGGTCCCCACATTAATCTAAAAAATGAACATGGGATTCTTGGTCAATGGGAAGTTGGGAACCAAAATCCCATTGACCAACTTTCCCCCCTCTCAAAATCCAAAAAACGAAGCCCCTCAAAGATAAAGCTACAACTTTAAATTCACTTTTCTTTGTTATTTATAAAGTTTGTTTTGTTTTTTATGTAGAAACCAGCCTCAATAATAACTGTATGAGTAGGGCATTTTGGACATTTTTGTGCCTCTTGTTAGAGGATTTTAAAAGAAGAGATCTACTTGCAACTGTCATAAAGTTTAAGGAAGGTGGTTGCAATTAAGAAACTTTACGGGAGGTTTCAACAATAGTCAAGAACTTTAGGGGAGGTTTCAGCAATTTACCCTTTTTTATTTTTTGGAAAACCTTAAAAGCTTAATAACATTATGGCTGCGTTTGTTTGCGATGTAAGTGCTAGACCGGTGTAATATTACACTTTGGTATGATTTTTGTGGCTATTTGGATGGAGTGTAAAAGATTAACAAAAATCGGTGTAAAACTCCATCTTGAATGACTTTTACATCAAAAAATCAATGTAAAAGTGCTCCTACTTGTAATAACGTCTCTCTCTCTCTCTTCTATAAAACCTTCAAAAATGAAACTAAAACTCTCCTCTAATAAAACCCTTGGGCTGCATTTGTTTTAGGTGTAAATTCAGTTTTACACTGATGGGAAATGTGAACCAGTTTAGTTGTCAATGGAAATTGGGACCGTTAGATTTTGAAAATTTACACTGACTAAGTTTGGTTGTCAAGGTATAAATTCGGTGAGATGGGAGCTACATTGCATTCAACGAGAGCGTCGACACAGAATAGGGAGTGTTGAGAGCGTCGCCACGCCGTCGCCGGTTTTGCTCGAATATAGGCCTGAGTTTGGTGCTGCGACAAGGGATCATGCTATTAGGAGAAGTTTCATGTGGTCACTGCTACAGTCGATTCTACTTGCTTAGCAGATGGAACAGAAGTGATGGTTTCAGGGAGGCAAAGATCAAAGTGAAGAAAGAGGAAGGATTGTCATTCTGCATTCATCTCGAAAGAGAAGATGATCTACAGTATCTTCGGGTGATTTCAACGATTCTAATAAATAGAACAAAGGAGGAGGGAAGCAGAGGAAGAAGAAGAAGAAGAAAAAGGAGGAGGAAGAGAAGAGAGAGAAAGAGAGAGAGAGAGAGATCCGGATGTGGAAGATCGAATTGGGTTTTGCCGTTGCCACCCTAGGTTCAGGTCCACCACTGCAACAAGTTGTAGCATTTGGTTTCAGGCCAACTTCATTCGTGTGTAGAAGTCGGGAGGGAGAGAGCTAGGGAGGCGAGAGAGGGCTTTGTCGTTGGGGACGAAGAGGGTTTCTATTATTGGGAAGGTTGAAGGGTCAATGATGGAGAGGACTCCCACCCAATTGCCAAAATCGCCGGTGCCAATTAGAGCTTCACCAATGCCAAAATCTCATGTTGGATGTTTGACGGAGAAGCATCGGTGCCAGCGAGAGAAAAATGATGGTTAAAACAGAGAGGAAGAAAGAGACGTTAGGGTGAGAAGAGTATGATAGAAGTCGATGAGTTTTAGTTTTACATCCTTAATTTCGATGTATATTTTACATCGATTATTGGTGTAAAGAAAATTCAAAAATGAATTTTACACCGATTTATGGTATAAAATTATACTCTTTCCAAACATGTGTACAATCAAACTGGAGTGTAAAGTTTACCCCGGTTCGATTTTCCACCTCGAACAAACGTGGCCTCACAAGCGAAATTGAAACTCAACAAGGCTTACAACATCTTTTGCTGAATTTTGATTCCTTCCTCATAGGTTACTGATTAATGATGTATGATTAGGTTACTTGATGGGCACCACAATCAATGTATTTTACATTAAGAACTAAGTTGTCTTAAGAGGAGTTCCATTTCTTTAGTTCACTTCTGTTGCCTGAATTGAGTGCTTATGAAATATGAACTATTTTCTAAGGATTTTATGGCTTGCATTTTTATTTCTTGGTTGGTATCCTGATCCATCATTAAAATTTGTCTTTATTGCTTGGTGAGTGAATGTTAGTTTACATGACTTATCATCTGGATGGGTAGGTTGAAATATTTAATGGTTCATGTTTAACCATTGTATTATGGGATATTTTAGTTGACTTTGAATTATATGTTAATGTTTTTTAAATTAGAACCGGACTAGTCCGTAATGTTGAACTTGGATGAGACTTGAAAATAACCTCAAAGTTCATTTTCTTTAAATTGGGATATACAAGTGGTGTTTTCATTTTGGTTTCAATCTGATTTTCCTTTATGGGCAGTTTTATCTTTCGCCTGTCCAGAACTTAATTTTAGTTTTGAATGATTTTGGCATGCAACATACAACTTAAAAGAATTTAATGAAAGAATCCTTTATCAAATCTAGATTCTCAATATAAAATCCAATTCCGATCCTTAAATGAGATTTTAGATTTGATTCTTAAAATTCTTTTTCAAATATGAATTCTTAGTGGGATATTTAGGTTTCTTTTCCAAATAAAGTTTCAAATCCTGAAATTGTCCCTTAAGGACTTGGATGTGCTTCTTTGCATCATTCAAAATTTCAGGTTCCATCACATTACTGAATTGAAATATGGAAGTAAATAAAGCTTGTTTTATTATTTTTACAAGGTTCCTTCCTTTAGATGGAATCAAGTGATGGTTGAAGGTAAATAGGCTTGGAATTGTAAATTGAAAGTAAAGGGTTTTATGTTGAAGAGAATTGCTTAGATATGCATCCCTATTCAACCTCAATGACGGATTATCAATGGCATGGTGATGTCTATTTTGGATTTGTATCAGTTCAGTTTTGGGATTCACATATCGACTCATTTTGAGTCTGGATCTTGCTTTTTCTTTGCATTACACGTCTCCTTTTCATATTCACATGGTTAGGCCTCTCACTATAGTCATTGATTTTATTATTTTTTGAATATACTATTCCCTACTTCAACTTCAGAATTCATGCACTTAGGCTCATCTGCCTAGATTTTAGCGCTTGCATTTTAATTCATTACTCTCAGTTTTAATAGGTAGTTTAATTCGGGCTTGGTTCCAGAATGAGTTGCAGTTTTTTTCCTTATCCATATCAAATTTGAAATTTAAATTCAAAAGTGGGTTTTAATTAGATCAAACTAATCATTGTTACCTATCTTTCTTCACATTTATTTAATTACATCATCAAAGTAATCAATGTTCTAATTACTTTTTTTTTTTTTTTTTTTTTCTTTCTTGGTTAAAGATGCAATGAGCGACTCTTATGCATAGTTGAAGATAATGGACAATTCTTTTATATTTAGAATTTCTCTATTTTCTTGAAAGTCATGTAGACTTTAATATGTATTGAGGGAAATTTGACATTTATAATACATTTTAAACATTGGATGTACTTTTTTGTAGAACAATGCATGCCTTCAAATTATACATGGCATGTATTGAATTATTACAATAATATGATCATTTGTTAGAGGGTTATTATATAATTTTCAATAGGTATTGCTTTAAGGTGGCAGTGCCAAATGTCATTATTTTACTATTTTATTTGGAATATAGCCACAATTTTTCTATAGAATGAACCAATTAGCTATGGTTTCTCAAGAAATTGTGGGCATAGATTGCATCTTTTAGCTACGGTTTGTCAAAAAACCGTAGCTATAGGTTAGAGTATTTAACTATGGTTTTTGCAAAAAAAAAACTGCATTTGTAGGTTAGTACATTTAGCTACGGTTTTGTAATAAACGGTAACTATAAATAGAAGAATTATAATTATGGTTTTATAAAAATCCGTGGTTATAGATTTGGATATATAGCTACGGATAATTTAAAAACTGTAGCTATATGCATCTTTTATTTATGGTTTAGCCACGGTTTTGTATTTACACCCCAAACAAACAAACACAACCTATATGAATTTCATGTTGTTTACCAAAAAAAATTCCATGTTCGGACTTGACAGTGTCACCACTTGCCCATCAAAAATAAGCTGTCATCACTGAACCATAGACGATTTTGAATGCACACCACCCTTCTCTCAAATTTGTTTGAAAGATATTGCTCAGAAATATAAAAAAAGCTGTTTATCTCTCTCTCGAAGACATTCTTTTCTTAGGCATGAGTGCATGACATGAGATCGAGCCCAAGGTCTCTGGTGGCGTTCAACACTGATGTGTACATACACTAGTCTGATAACTAAATAAAAAAAAAATTTGTTAATTAAACTGGTCGGTTGTGATCCTCCAAACATATAAATATATAATTGTTTTGTGGCTGCAGACAATGGCAACCTGTGTGGCTGTCCCCAGACCCAAGCTGGAGCCTTGGGATTTTCTCCATTCATGCAGTAACAATTGAATAAACAAATGAACGGTTGCACCAAAGCAAAGCTCAGCCTCTAATCAGCCTAAAACAAATAACAAATAAGGATCAGGGAATTTGTGTTTATACCTACAGCATTACCTTCATTGATACAAGGGCATGTCATTTGTCCCCTTTTAAGGAACCCTACTCACCTTTTTCATTTGGCGAAATCCAACCAGTATCAAAAAGACCAAGCAAGCAAGCCATACTGCCATAGTCTAAAGAGCTCAACTGAAAGTTCACTTCTCTTGCTTTCAAGTTGGAAAAGATACAATGTACGTTTTCAACCGAATATCAGAGGAACTACATTTGAATTTGTTATATAACCCCATGGGGAGGCTTCTGTTGCCTTCTCGGTGAAATAAAAGAGGAAGCAAACCGAGCCATCATATTAACCCCTTCAGGGATGCTTCTGTTCTGTTGCTAATATCGACGTGTATTCTACCTTGAGAAAAAAAAAAGTTTCATGATCATCACTGGTTATAATTCAAAATGACATTTTAACACTTAAACAAAAGTCGGGCTGCAAACAAATTCTCTTTTCTCTTCCCAAGCTTGCACTTGCAACACAAAAAATGAGCAAAACTGAATAAACTTGAGAGTCCAAGCAGCTTGACCTTCGAATAAGATTGCACCTAACCATCTGCTATGAGCCTATGAATGTCAACCTTGCTTTACAGACAATCTCTCTGATAAAACGAAGCTAATTAGTCAGAATTTTGGTACAACAATAAAAGACTTAATTTCACATGGTCAAAAACATGAATCTCTTCCACCATTATACTAAGATCATCCCTTACAGTCCCTAACTCCCTGCCTCCTGTAACTTGAATTCTGTTCTGGGATGACTTTGAAGGATGCCCATCAACATGAATTATCTTGTTTTTCAAAACGGAAACAACTGCAACATCCAGAAAAAAACCATTTTCTGACATGGAAGTTGTTTTTGTTTTGAAAAACAAAACCATTCATGTTGACATGACACCCCCTACATTTTCTCTTATAACCAGAAAGTTGTCAACATGAATTATCTTGTTTTTTCTGACATGGAAGTTTTTGTTTTCAAAGACAAAACCATTCATGTTGACATAACACCCCCAACATTTTCTCTTATAACCAGAAAGTTGTTTCACCCTACCCCCCAGAAAACCACATTGAATTCCATTTCATTCCAGGTTGATTTCAAACTTCACACATTTTCTCTTATAACCAGAAAGTTGCCAACATGAATTTCTTGTTTTTTCTGACATGGAAGTTTTTGTTTTCAAAAACAAAACCATTCATGTTGACATAACACCCCCAACATTTTCTCTTATAACCAGAAAGTTGTTTCACCCTACCCCCCAGAAAACCACATTGAATTCCATTTCATTCCAGGTTGATTTCAAACTTCACAAAGAATTTTCTGGATCATCCCAAGGAACAGAATAAATCAAGTGCCTTTTCCTTAGCCAAAAGGACAAGGGACCAAATGGCAATTTTTTTTCCAGTTCTCTTACGCAAGATTATTAAATGGCAGGCCCCAACCACCCATGCACCACACGTATCTTAACATAGCTTAAGGGTAGCCTTCGCTTATCCCTAATCATCAGACTCTAATCTAACCATCTTAAAATGAAATTAGCAAGGATATGGACATACTTATCAGTTCATATGTAACAATCATGGAAGTCCCATAGAGAGACATGTTTAAGAACCGGGGCCAAAACCCTCTGTAGAAGCCTCTCCACCCATCTTCCTGAAGAAGCGTTTTTGTGGTCTTGATAACAGATGGTCTTCCAATGCCATAATCATCCAGGACCTATGTTTTAACAGATATTAGAATTATTGAAAGCTTGAAAACCAAAGCAGCATTACTAAAGTTGAAAAAGAACAAAAAAGCATATACAGAAGAAATTGTTAATGGAATATACAGGTATGAAGAAAAATAAAAACAACACAAAATTTACAAAATGAGAAGGTTATGAAGAAAATGTCATCCAGGTGGAAAAATTTTTAAAAGACAATTATACTGCAGATGGAATTCACCTGAAGCCGTGTCTTGATAGTGTCTATAGGAGTAGTAATAATTGATGAACAAGCACCAGCCAGAGTCCCCGCTGTAGCCTGAACCACCACCATCTCCAAATGAGATGGTTTTCTCTCCATTTCGTTTCTATACCCCAAACTCCTAAAATCATGAACAAGAAAGAAACCCTAACAGTTAACAAAAGAAGTAGGGAACCACATGATAAAAGCTTTGGTTTAAATGACAATTGAGGTGTACCTCCAGATGACATGCTGTGCAGCACCATATGCACCCCACCACAGTGCAGATGCTGGGGATTGGTATACTGCAGTTAGAGCAAAGCCTCTATACATACCACGAATCCCCTCTGACCTGATAACTTTATGAACTACATCTATCGGTCCATTACAAACTGCAGTCCCTGGAAGGCCTTGTACCATTAGCCTTTGGCAAATCTGAGAAATTGTTAGCCATACAATTAGAGTGAGGAATAGAGACCTAGCAAATAAATATCTTAAAATGGTTCTAAATGCAGAAAAAAAAAGTCATGACTGCATTGATGACAATTTTGGTATTTCCACTTATTAGATATTCTCTGGTGCTCTTGGTCTTGGAAAGCCTTTCATGTTCTTAAAACTTCAGAACCTGAAACGTTTAGAAGAGCTAATGGGGAAGAAATTGTAGACTTACCACATCCAAAGGAACATAGTATATACAAGAGACTAGATTTGACACTAGGCCTGCCATTCCATTTGCAATACCAACACGTGTCGCCTCAGGCATATCCAAATCTTCAGTATACTTTAGCATCATATCTTTTGAAACTTCCAATGAAGTCAAAGCCAAGACCCTCCCTGGCAACGACCCAATGGCAGAAGTACCAAAACCTCTGAAAATACCAGGGACACCATCATTCTTCAATATATGCCTGAATACAGATATTCCATGCATTTGAGCTAGTCCTGGGCTAGCTACTTGCATTCTAGTCTTTACAACTGCTGTTGGATGTAGCAAAGCTGATTGTGCAGTAAAGAGGATAGCTCCAATGACATGGAACCTTGTCTTGTCCAACCTTGAGTTCAGACCCATGACAAAAATAAAAGTACATTAGAATCAAAGTATCAATGTAAAAGATGGTTATAATTTATTTTAAGCACATCAGAAAGCATACTTAACATCAGACAGTTCATGGAAGATTTTGGATATAAAGACCATCTAATACAACTTTTGAAAAGAAAATAATTTCAAAGCTCAGAACAGCATTAATGTTGTTAAACACTTAAACCACAACAAATTACCATTCAGATCAAATCTTAACCTTTGCGATTCGGTAGACACAACTGAGTAGCATTTTACAAAAAGCCCCACTAAGTTGCACCAAGTCACGTGACTTATATGCCAAGTTGGAATTGACATGGAACCATGAATTACAAATTTAATTTTTTTTTTCTTCTGTTTCTAAACACTATTTAAGGGATACTCTAGTGCCCCCAATATTCTATTTCCCCAACAAGGTGAGATCAATTACAAGAAATCCAAAAACCCTCTAGGAAAATCCTTATATCTCCTTCAATTCTTAATGGTTTCAAGTGCCTGCTAGTTTTACTTTGAAGAGGGACTACATAGATGCGAGATGTAGGAAATTTGAAGCTTGAGGTTCTCCATTTTTGTAAGTTTTTAGTCTAAAATTTACTTTTTTCCCCATTTTGTTCATCTTCTTCTAATGTTTCTTCCATATGTGGGTAGATCCAAGGTTCAATGTATTTATACTCCTAACAAACATGTTTGTGCGTATTGGGTGAGTCAAAAACTTCTTTTTTATTTTTTTTTAGCTTCATATTTTTACATGGTGCTTATAATATTATTATTTAACATCTAAAAATTCAAATGACACCCAAAATCAAAAAGAAAAACAGGGATAAAAAGAAGTAAACAGAGAAAACACACAAATTTACGTGGTTCAGCTTATAGCCTACATCCACGGATGGGTGAAAGAGGTGCAGAAATCCACTATGAAATCAGCAATGGAGAAAAATACAGAACCGTGCACTCACAACCTCACTCACAGAAAACCCTAAACCCCTAAATAAACCCAAGGTCTTTCAACTTCTCTCATAAGACAAAGACTTAGTTATACAAGAGAGAAACCCGCATAATACATAATTCTCCATATTTAGGTCAGATCCATAAGCTGAATATGACCCTAAACCCCTAAATACACCCGAAGTCTCTCAACTTCTCTCATAAGACAAAGACTTTGTTATACAAGAGAGAAACCCCCCAAAATACATAATTCTCTGTATTTAGGTCAGACCCATAAGCTGAATATGGATCGGATCAATACCACCTTTTTACCTTCGGGATTTTTCTCAACTTAATTCGAAGTGGGTTCATGAAGCGGGTCACAACAAAGAATTCAAGGCGCAACCATAACAAGATGAAACATCACCTTGAAAGAACTAATAAGAATGTGGCACAATGTTTTTTGGTCCCCGAAGATTTGTAGAAGTTGTGAGCACCCTTGGATGAAATGAAGATGTAAGAAACCCAAGAAGATGAAAGGTATCATGTATGGATACTCAGGAAATTTTCCCTATGAGAGATGGAATAGGGGATCAAGCAAAAAAAGCATTACAAAAAGAAACTGAGCAATGCAAAGAGATCTGTGCCGGTTCAAAAGATAATAAGTGGACGCAAGTAGAGAGTTATTTATCAAACCCACACTTTAAATATGATCCCAATTTCAAGGATGACATTGAGGATCTAAGGTAAAAAAAAGGCTGTTGGAGTATTTTTAAGAGGGCAGTGTCATCATAAAGGAAGAAGGGGAAATTTGATGAGCAGATGGACTTGTTCAATTGAGAAGGCGTATTTGAAAGGGATACAAATATGATAACATAGGAAAAGTACATTATTAATTTTTAAGTCATAATTTATCTCTTTAATATAATCTATCATATTAAGTTGATTTATTTTATTAATAAACATTTACAATGCATTACAGACCTTCCACGGGATGACTATAGGAATTTGCTCCAGACTTGAAGAAATATGCAATAAAGATACTGAACCTCACATGTAGCTCTTTTGGATGTGATGTGTAGCTCGAAGCTGGGGTACATTTAAGCAAGCGTTTAGTTTAATTTTTATTAGAAAAATTCCAACTGCTTAAATGAGGACATAATAATTGGTAGATATTTCTACTTGACATTACATACACTAAAAGAAGAAGTAAAATAGGTTGAAGCAAAAGAAGTTAAATACTCATCTATGCAAAATACAACTTACAAATCAAACCATGACATGAGAAAAGAATGGATAAGACATCTGATCTGATGTGTTCAAGTTATATGGAGTAGGAGTTATCATTCCTACCTGGTCTGGAAGGTCCAGCCTGTCTGGTCATGCAAATTTCTGGGCCTTGGCCTCACATCAATACAACAACCATTTTAAAGTTCTAGTCCATGTTTTTTTCACTGCAAGTTTTGGTCTAATTGTTTTCCTCTATTCGCAATGTACTCATCTCTCTCTATATGTATAAGTTTGTAGGCAAAAGCCTGGGTGCCCAGTGCAGGCCCATATAGCATTGGGCCTGAGCCTATATCAAGCTCAGGTGCAAGACCAGCCGGGCCTAGGCATACGGTAAGCCCCTTCTATTAGGTGATAAGCGTGGCCAGAGACCCAGGGACTGGCCCGGCCCATGAAAGTCTGATGGTTCAAAGAGAAGGAAAATTTAGCCTTTCCAACAGATTCATAATGGCTTGGTGTAAATGAGTGCTTTTCCAAGAGACTGGTGCAGTCATGAGAAGAAATCTTAAGAAACGACTAGGCATGTGAAGTTGCATAACATGTAAATAAATTGTTAAAAAAATAACTTTTTTCTTTACTACTTTAATTGTGTAGTTTCTAAAAGTTCAAAAAGCTTATTATAGGCCATAAGAATATGCCATATACAAGAGGGCAAGAAAAAGGAAAAGAAAGAACAATGACCAAGAAGAAGAAGACTTACCTCTTCAAGATAATAATGAGGATGATTTTTAGTGAATAGGAAGAATTGGTTGAGTTTTGATACAATTTTACATTTTGATTTGCATGTATGCACTTATATTTAAGAATGGGCATTGGGCATTGAGTAGTATAACAAACTCATGATTAGTCTTTTTTGGATCATGAGTTGTTTTATAGAAGTTTAGGTTGGTTTTAGACATTGAGAAATCTACAGAACTCAACACTAGTTGTTCTTTTTTTGGCTCATGAGTTATTCTTTGTAAAGCTTAGGCTGAGTTTTTGGATTGGGCAATATAGAAAAATCATAACTAGTCTTTTAAAGGAGTTATTAGCTATGATCTTTGTCTCTATAATTTACATTTTGATATATGAAAAGAATTAAAATGACTTAAGTTGGCAATTAAATTCATTTTCTTGAGTCAGTATGGAATATCGACAAATAGAGCAGAAATGCTCATAACTCTGTTCTTACTTAACGGTTGTCCACATAACTTGTTCTATAATTGATTATTTAATTTTTTATGATTTTTTCATAACTATTAACAATTCTTTCATAGTTTTATATTGAACATTACAATTTGAATCCTGATCCAATTTAAGTACCACCTTCTAGTGTTTTCTAATTTGTTTCTATTTTGGCAACATTAATAGCATCTTAGCAACACATATTACAGCACTCATTTTGTGCCATTGCTTAATTATCCTAACCTCCAAATCAAATGCTAAAAACCTTCTATATGCTGCCTACATCACTTAATCTCAGTCAAGATAACTTATGGAATGATATAGAGCTTAGATGGAGCACATTATATGAAGAGTTGCAACTTGCAAGTGTTACATCCACGAAGTTAGCCTACATGGGGCTACAAAATCGACCCTGATGCTTTGAGCTACCCTACTTACAATGTAATTACTTGTACTGAAACGATTTATTGAATACAGTATTCAAAAACATAATTTAAATATCTTACAAAGTCGTGCTCACTCTTTAGACAGGAAGAAGAGCACCAGAGAGCAGAGTTTATGGGATTTCAAATTTATTCTCCTACTTTCTATATTGCAATGATATTACTATGGCTCAAAACCATACATTTTTCTCTTTTGTCTTCAGGTAGAATAAGAATTAAGAAATAGGGGAAAACACTGTACATTCACATGTATTTCCCCACGAGCAAACAAGCATTGAGATATACACGAGAAAGAAGAGTACACATCAGAGGATGAAAAATGATGCAGAAAAATATGGAGAAGCAGATTTCCCAAACAAAAGAAAAGAAAACTACTTGAACAATAAAAGTAAACAGCTCGATCAAGAGACCTCTGCGTCCCTGATTTAGCAAGACCATCTAACCTACGTAGACCCAGGTGCCAAGATTTCTCTGATCTGATTTAGGTAGAGGACTAGCTATCAAAGGGCTACTGTGATACTATCTATCTACCCTATGACTCCACCCTATGTTTCATTCAGAAGCATAAATGAATACTCCAAATGCTTATTAGTTCGATTAAATAGGTATAAGCGCCATAAAGGATACCGCTTTAAAACCTTCACTCGAGTACCCACTTACCTTCTCAATGCACCATATATTTAGTATAAAGTTGTTATCACTTCAACACAGTAACAGAAGAAGACATCATAAACAGCAGAACCTTAAAAGCGTATGGCCCTATTATGCCAAGGGGTATCAGCTAATGTGAAGTCTGCAAAATGCATTCCGCTGAAAACACCACACTTGAGACTACAGCCATATAATACTTTCTCAGTTCGCTCATGTGTTTGTGAATAGTGATTATTAAGGTTTACGTGGTTTTGGAACGAAAATTATAGTCTATGAAGTCGTTAATGTTTGCTAATAACATATGATATGATGCGCAGTGCAGAGTTTATAATGTCAACATTTAGTTTACGTATCGATAGCTGTAACTAAAATACGAATCATAAGACAATCATAAGCCAGTGCCAGGTTACTCCAACCTTATAATTGGAAACAGAGAGAAAAGAAAATAAATGAAATCTCAGTGAGAAGAAAGGTAGAAGGGAAAAAAGAGAGAAAACCAACCTGTCCCAATTGATGTCGGTTTCAGAGAGAGCCAATTCGGCAGGTGCAGCCTCGGCCTCCATAGCCATCGTCGACTTTCCACCAGTTGGCCGCGTTCTCACCGGTCAGTGTCCGGAAATGTTTCTCTAGTTCCAGGAACTCTGTAGAGTTTCTATTTGTTTATGGTTAGGTCATAGATAGAACGATGGAACTCTCCCCGTTTTGGCGGGGGGGAGAGTCGAGAATGTTCCGGAGAGAGAGAGAGAGAGGGCAGGAGGGGAGCTGAGTTGGATTGGGAAAAGAGGCAACGACAACGAGGAGATCTTTCAAGGCAAATACAGACAGAGCATGACACGCGTAAATTTCTTGCAAAGCACATGTCACCTGAACGATAGGCACGTGATCATTTGACGTACTAAATTAACGGAGCGGTAGGAAGTGCAGCCGAATTCATCAATCTCGAATAGTCGGATTCAAATTAGGACTTTTTTCGTTAAATAGTAATTAAGCACGTTTATTGTACGTGATAATTATTTTTTATATTGTATTTGAATTTTAGATATATTATAATTATGATAAAATTTGAAAATTAAAAAGAGTAATAATATGATGAAAATTTCGGATCAATACCCTCGGTCTCTAAACTTTAAAATGCGATAATTTAGTATTCGAATTTTCAAAATGTGACAACCCAGTATTGTTAGCCAGTCCATTAATCAGCTGTTAAGTAACATTTGAAAAGTCAAAAATACCTTAAGAATACCATTTAATTCTCTTTATCAACCATCCAAACATTGACAATAAAATGAACAGTCTCAAATTTTAGATTCTTCTAAACAATCACCAATTTTTTTTAATAGAAGGATCTAGAATTTGGGACTACTGATTTTATTTGTCAATATTTGAATGGTTGATAAAGAGAATTATATGGCCTTTGAAGGGCATTTTTAACTTTTCAAATGTCACTTAACGGCTAATTAACGAACTGGTTAACGGTAGGTACTGAATTGTCACATTTTGAAAGTTCAGGTTTCGGATTATTGCATTTTAAATTTTGGGGACCAAATTGTCACACAAGTCAAAATACAGGCACTGATCAGAAATTTTCCTTAAAAATAAACTTAAATACTTGTAATAAATTGACTTAAATATACCCTCGGTTTTTCAAAAGGACTTAAACAAAACTTGTTACTCTTTTGTCCTTTCAAATTTTCAAAAAGAACCAAACAAAAAACAAACTCATGTGTTCAATATTCTATTTTTCCTATTAAACCAAAAGAGTAAAAACTAGCTATTTCTCCCAAGAGACCAAACTTGACAAAGGATACTTAAACATGATAATATAGGATTCAGTTAAGATTAACTGTTTTTTGAGTTTTCGTTCCATAAACCACACTTCAATCCATTTGACTGGACTAGATTGAAAATGTAGCTTTCATCAAATTAAATATCAACTACTCACCAGCTTGTTACATATGTAGTCCACTCTTCCCCGACTCAAGCCTTTTGTAAATAGGTCAGCCCACAGATTTTCTGTATTAACATGTGTAGTGTCTAGCTCTCCATTCAACACCTTCTCCCTCACAAAGTGACAGTCAACCTCAATGTGYTTGGTYCTTTCATGAAACACTRGATTAGARGAGATATGAACTGCAGCCTGATTATCACAATAGAGCTTCATTGGAGTGTTAATGTTGTACCCTACTTCCTGTAAAAGGTTCCTTAGCCACACTAATTCACAAGCGGTG